TGTAGATGAGTAGAAAAACAATTAAATGTTTCTATTTAAAAAAAATAAAAGTTAAAAGGTTTTTATTTGGATGTGTGATGAAGTGTTTTAAAAATACTGACATGTAATAAAAAAAAGAATATTGCCATTTACAAACATAAAGACACAGGTATTTTTATAAAACCTTTATTTTTGAATCAAAGGCTAACTGAAATGTGTCCGATTCATACCGAGTTCTGTGACAACAATAAACTAGTGATGACTTCTGTTTGTAACAGAGAAGAAAAACAACAAAACATAAATTAAAATTAACTTTTTCAATACACAAATAAGCAGTTATCATCATAAAGTTGACGTGTATATAAAGTGTGTGAGCCATGCTGCACAGAAAACTCACACGGTTCCACATGCTTGCAGGAAACAAAAGGTCCACGTCAGGTGGAAGACTTTAACAAGCTGCAGCCAGAAACGGTACAGAGGCCGATTTTACTGAAACATACGAACACGCCACAGACTGCAACCAGAACGGCTGGAGTTTCTAAAACATTGTCAGAGGAAACAAGGCGCCGCAGAGCGCTGATTCAGAGAGCAGAGCGAGGACAAACACAACGCAGCGTCAGCAGAAACACAAAAACTGGATTTTTTTCTCTTTTCTTAACAAACGTCCACTTCTGAAAACAAAAAGATTTCTTAAATGTAACATTTTTCCAAAATAACCCCAGAAATGTCAGCAGTAACTTCTTTAAGATGAACCTTTTTCTTTAATAAAGAAATTAAACACTGAAATGTACAAAAAAATCAGAATATTAATAATTCATGAAGCAGCTTCTGATTTCACTGCAGGAAATTCTGTTGTTTTTTTACTAACTTATAAATTATTTCTGTTGCCTTTCTACACATCATCTTATTTTATCTCCTTATTTTGTTCCATGATAAGTAAACGAGGTTATTTGATTCAAAAGGCAGCAGTAACGGAGTTATAAACAGTAGTTTGCAGAAGGCACACATGTCGACGCTGAAGATGAGACGATCAGTAAACAGTTTGATTATTTCTCCAGAAATCTGCTCCAACAAACTCAAATACACTCAAAAAACAGACAGAACGGATGTAAAGTTAACGTCAAGTTAACGTAAAATTAACACGTTACTTTGATGTAATTCAGTTGTATGGATAAGGGTTAGGGCCACTGAAAACATAAAAAAAGAATTCTGACTTTTTCTCAGAATTCTGACTTTTTCTCAGAATTCTGAGATTAAAGTCAAAATTCTAGGATTAATGTCAGAATTCTGACTTTTGTGAGAAAAAAGTCAGAATTCTGACTTTAATCTCAGAATTCTGAGATAAAAGTCATAAAAGTCAGAATTCAGTCAGAGTTAAAGCCAGAATTCTGAGATTAATTCTGACTTTAATCTCAGAATTCTGACTTTATTCTCAGAATTCTGACTTTAATCTCAGAGATTAAAGTCAGAATGCTGAGATAAAACTCAGAAGTCTGACTTTTTTTCTCAGAATTCTGAGATTAAAGTCAGAATTCTTTTTTAATTTCTTCAGTGGCCCTAATCCTCTTCTGTACTGTTGAGTGAAAACAGTTGACAATTTTTAAAAATTAAATCATTATATCTGTCTTTTAAGTGAACGTGGTGTAAAATATAAAAAAGCTGAATGCAATCATTAGCAAATCTAAAAAAAAAAAAACTAAAATTATTCATAATGAACGTATGAAATGATGGAACTAAGAGATTGTACCATTAAAAAATGTTGATGCTGTTTAATTAAATTATGTTAAATTGTGGATAAAATATTGCAAATTATTGCATTCTGTTTTTTTAAACTGTTCACACAACGTTTTAATTTAATTTGGTTTGTAAATAAAAACAGGAACAAGTGAAAATATTTAAAAATGGCACTTCAACACAGACGTTCTGGATTCCTCTCCTGATCTGCAGCTGTAGGTAGTTTCTTTACACTCAAAAGAAAAACAGGTTTTTCTGTGAACTAAAGTGAACAAACAACAACAACAACAATAAAAACATTTAAGCACGCTACATTAAAACAAAACTAACATCAAAATTAAAGGCAAACAGTGGGCGTATTGCAACAATCTTCTGCGGCATCACTATCAAAAACATCTATCTTCATCGTCATCCAAACATCATCATCATCATCACCGCCTGAGACGGCGTGGCCGGGGGGGTGGAGGGGGGGGGGTGATTGACAGGCCACTCACATTTCGCCCGTCTCAGAACGGGCAGGCACACTTGTACAACGAAGCAACGACAACAAACAAACATTTCCACAGAGACAGAAAGGACGTGTGTGTGTGGGAGGAGCTCTGTGATTGGACAGCAGGCACCTCCTGGGAACAGGAAGTGGTGGTTTGGACAGGAGGAGGAGGAGGAGGAGGAGGAGGAGGAAGGCCAGGTGTGTGGATGTTGTGTGGTCTGAAACGAGCCTGATGGAAGAAAGTGTGTCTGGGTTTCAGTGTGTGTTGTTTAGACTGCAGCGTGTGTGTTTAGTTTGTGTCTAGACAGCTGGAGGTCTTTCCCAGGACACATCAGTGTGTGTTTACTGCACACACACACACACACACACACTGAGGATGTGCTGTTGTGAAGCATGAACAGCAGTGTGTATAAATGTTTCATGTGTTGCAGTTTTCCTTCCTCCTCCTGCTGTTTGGGGGTTTTGTCAGCCCAGCCCGACCCGTTTTACCCTTTTTCTCTGTTCCTTGTTTTGTGCTGCAGGTACCGTCATCATCACCAACACGTTTCTGTGACGGCTCCGTGTTCAGAGCGAGTCCAGTCGTGTCACACCCGCTGCAAACCCTTTCACACAGGAACCTTTTTTATTTACTTCAGGATTAAATCTGATTTATGCTCCGATCCCTCGTCTGCTTTGGGTCAACGGTTCTGTTTTCTGTTTTTATTTCCTTCTTTAAGTGCTCAAAATTTCTTTAACTCAGGCAAGAGGATTAAAAAATAGTTTTTTTCTTTTTCATTCGACTCAAATAAAGACTTTTTTACATTTTGTTCATTCATGAACAGATGTGACCCGTCACATCGAAACAAGGATTCAGACTTAAAGGGATCCGTGATCAGTTGTAACG